ACGCTATTGTTTTTTTAATTTATTTAAAGTTTTAATAAAACGTTGATTTTGGAGATTTTTTTTGTTATCAATAAGTAGACAGGTAAGCAAAGTTTACGTTTCATTAAAAGTTGTTTGTGTTTATGACTTTTTTCTATTAGTTTTAAACATTTGAAGTTAAGTGTTCCCAATTCCCCCACTTTCCCCTATCACATTAATTAATCGGTAATTTTTATAATTATTTTTTATTTCTTATCAGAACATTTCACGTTCTTACGTGTTTTGACATTGAAAGGGAGGGCCGCGCGAAATAAATTGCGTGACACTTCCAATTAACCGATTAAAAATTGTTAATTGAAACAAAAATATACGATATTATTTGTACAAATTAATTTTCATATGGGTATAGAGAAGAGTATTACGACCACACAGCCAAATGATATAAATATAATATCTTACGTTAATAAACCTACACGTCTTATTACACACACCCTCTAAGCAAGCTAGCTCTTTAAAGATAATATAATCAATGTTACACAAATTTAGTTAACTTAACATCTGACTTATGACGATAATGAAAACGCGTGAGATGTTTTAAAATATATAATATTATTATATAAATAAATAATAATATATTCAACGATTTATTTTGATATTGGAAGACGTGCGGTCAACAGTCCACAAGTCAAGTCGAGGTGAATATAATGCTTTGTAATTATTTTTTTCTATATCGCTCATATGGAGCGACTATGACATAAATAACTGTAAATTTGTAAATTGTAGTTTGAAGTCTAGGCATGAAAGGAGACTAATTAAAAAAAAAATCAATCCATATCTAAGTGCAAAAAAAAAATCATTGTGGTATAATTAAATCAATTTCACATTTTTTTAGCAATCAAATCAAATCAAATCAAAAAAGTTTTATTCAACATAAATGAAAGTACATACTTGTTGAACGTCAAAAGAATTACCGCCGAATTACGAATTATTAATAATTATGTCACTGTCGCTCCGAATGAGCGATATGTACAATAAAGTCGACTAGATCTTACTGTCTTCAATTATTTTCTGCTACAAACTGAATACCAATATGAAGTTTATCACAGGGAACGCTTGGAGCGCTACAATCTATAGGTTATCGATAAAAAAAATAAAAAAAATTGAAAAGTTGAAAACCTTGACATATTTGGCGATTCCCTTCCAATATTTAAGAACAAAATTATAAAAAGTTGTTGTTGAACCTCAGCCTCAGCCTTGGTCTGAGTACTCGGGTATTACTGCCCTTGTTGTCTTTCTTTTGTTTTTAATTTTTTATTATTATTAATAGTATTGTTAAATCTCTATTAATATATTAATGTAATGCATGCTGTGATTGCCTATAATTAGAGTTGCAGTTATCAATTGCTCTATACATGTCAATGTTATTTTATGTCTTACTGTAAACCCTGTCGGTAATCCTTAAATAAATAAATAAAAATATGATATGCAGGAATGTTCATTAAACAATGACGTAAAGGTGATAATAATTTATTAAATGGGAACAAATCACGCACGATCATGCGGCCTCAAATTAGGATTCATACTTAGGTACATACTTATTTACGTATATATATGTACGTCTTTCGATAAGCACCCAGATAAAGAGCAAAAAAAACCGGTTTATCCCACGAATGTTTGCACGATGCGGGAATCGAACCCACGACCCTCGGCGTAACAGTCAGTGACGTTAACTTCTGCGCATTTTTTTTCTTCAAAATTTTCCTCAAAATGACCTCTAGCATACCTACTCTACGTGCGTAGTTCTGACCACAGGAATGAATGTACTGTTACGTAGAAGACATGAAGATTCTTAGAAAAATGCTCTACAGTCATGTTTTAGCCGCAGACTGCGTTAGTGCTGTAATCTTATACCTTTAAACGAGCAATTCTTGTAATTATATATATATATATATATATACCTAGTCAGGTCATAAATTCTGTCACATGCTTAATGTAAAATAATTGAAACAAGTTTATTCATTATGTAACCATTCATATACCAAAATGAACTTAACAAAACATAGATTCTTATGACACTAAAGTTTATTCAAAATGACCTCCGTGATTTTGAATACAGGCCTTCAATCTGCGCGGCCAGTCGTCTATCGCAGCACGNATAAACTTTTTTGTGGCCAGCATTCTAAAAGAAAAGTTTTTACTGTGTGACAATACTTATGACCTGACTAGTTATATATATATATATATATATATATATATATATATATATATATATATATAATCTGAATATCGGAAACGGCTCCAACGATTTTAATAAAATTTAGTATATAGGGGATTTCGGGGGCGATAAATCGATCTAGTTACGAAATTTTCAGAAAATGTTGTTTTATTCGTGTTTGCAATAATCAACTTTATCGATAATCAACTTTATGACTCTTCTCGACATCTGTTGGCGAATAATAATACTATTTTTCATAATTGAGAGCAACTAACTGCTTTAAAGACACAATAACACTAAAGCTATATCAGCAGATGACGTTGTTAAGCCACCCGAAGCCAATGAGTGTTTGGTTTATACCAAGAAAATGAATTGTTTATTTATATTATTTGTGTCTTTTTAACTCACGTGTTCACTTAAAAATGCCTAAACGATCTTGAAACGTTTCATCATTTTATCAATATGTAATTCGTATTTAAATATAATTTCTAAAAAACACAATTTATCAAAAAAAAAACCGAGCAAAGCTCGTCATCATCTAGTCTAGTAGGTAAATACTAAAACTAAGATACCAGACTAGATATAATCGGAGGTGTGGCTTACTTGTGGTAGGACCTCTTGTGAGTCCACACTGGTAGGTACCCCCGCCCTATCTATTTCTGCATGAACCAGTAATGAGTTTCGGTTTGAAGGTAGCCGTTGTAACTAACTGAGACCTTAGAACTTATATCTCAAGATGAGTGGCGGCGATTTACGTTGTAGATGTCTATGGGCTTCGGTAACCACTTAACATCAGGTGGACTGTGAGTTCGTCCACCTATCTAAGCAATAAAAAATAAATAAATAAAAATGTACTAGATACCGCTGCCAATGAATATCCTGGTCACGCAGGAGCCAGTCAACGTCGTCGCCCTAGACACGTCCTTACGGATCCATCAGATCCAATAACCCTTGCATTAGACGCCTTTGGCTCTAATACTAGGAGCAGGCTTAGGGACCCCGGTAACCGTGGTCGTCAAACTCGGGAAAGAGTTTGACGTGCAACCTAAGCTAGCATCAGCTCGTTGAGTTTCTGGCCGAACCTTCTCAGCGGGTCGCGATTCCGATCCGGTAGTAGATTCATTCGCGAAGCAGCTCCTTTTTTTTATGGTTGAAGGATTACTGGTGGCCCGGAGGCCTTTCCAGTTTCACCAGGACAGGTGGGCGAGCAAAGGCTCAGCCAGGAGGGGTGGGATTTGCTAACAGCTACCCGAGCGCCTCCGAAGGAGACCTAACAGCTCAAGAGTAGCTGCTTCGCGAATGAATCTACTACCGGATCGGAATCGCGACCCGCTGAGAAGATCCGGCGAGAAACTCAGCGAGCTGATTCATGGGTTAGGTTGCACGGCGAACTCTTTGTCGAGTTCGACGAGTACGGTTACCGAGGTCCCTAAGCCTGCTCCTAGAGCTGAAGGCGTCTAGTGCGAAGGTTATTGGATCTGATGGATCCGTAAGGACGTGTCTAGGGCGTCGACGGTGACTGGCTCCTGCATGATCAGGATT